ACTCTCAAGTGGAACTCCTCTGCAGTGGTTTGCAGCTACAACCCTTGGAGCACATTAATGCCCAGGATATACTCAGGAATGGGGTACACATAAACAGTATATTCATGGGGGGACAACTATCTAGTACTCAGGGAGAGCCGCACAGCCTTCACCTTCATACTGTGCCTCCCACAACCATCAATATAAGCCAAAGGCCCTGGAAATTTTTCAGAGTTTCTATACAGGAGCATTCATTCTGCCCCTGTATCTACTAGATCCAGGACCCGCTGGACATTTGTAGGGGACCACTGGATAGCCAATTCCACGTGCGGCCACTGGTCCCTGCCCATCCCCTGTGGACAGGTTCCTCGGCCCTCCCCCTATTCAGATTTCCTAAGGATATCTCCTCCCTCTCCTCAGGAGGTTGGCACAACCAGATGCTCTTCCAGACAAACAGGACAGGCCTCCCAAGTTGCACCTCTGGTTTCCCCTTCACCTCCTTCTTCTTCTGGGGCTGCAGGAAACCTTGGTCAGCTCGCAACTGTTTCCACAGTTCTAATAAGTAGGTATTTGGTTTCCTGTCAATCTTATTTTGACTTACTCCAGCCCCCAAAAGATCTGACCACATCTGAGTCCTAGTCACTGGCACGAGTTTGCTTTTTCCCTGGGAGACAGAGGGGGCCCAAGACACCATCCTAACTCCTTTCTGCTGCCACCAGCTCTCTGCCTCCCCCAGGCTTACCATTGCAGTGACCTCATTAATATGGCGCCTGACATATGGGGCCAAAATAGCCGCAAGGGATCCAAAAGAGGCAGAGGAGGCATGCTGCAGTACTAGATCCCTCATCCCTGTCATAAAGCATTCATCATCGGGGCCCTGAGTATTGGGATTAAACATGGCCTGGTGCATGCCTAACTCTTGTAAGATCTGCACTAAGTCCACATAGAATTGCCATTTACTCACGGCAACTGGCACATCTGCTGCATCCACCCAGACTATAGAGATAACAGCCATGACCCATTCTAACAGAGAATGAAATCCCTGCCCCCTTTCATTTTGCTGGCTATTTTGTAGCCACTGGGGCAGGGAGGGGTGAGTCATAATGGAAACTAACTTTTCCACCTCCTAATCAGTGCCCATAATACTATCAACCCCTAAATCCCAAAGGTGGAGGAGCCACACTGCCAAGGTCTCCCTAGACCACTGCTGAAACTGCTTCCTCTGATCTACTAGCTTGGCCTGCGTATAGGGGCTATACATGAGGTGCTCAACCATCTGGGTGGGGCCCACCAGATTCCCCCCAGGCGCCATAGGCTGCTGTGATCTCATCTTCTGTATCACTACTGGGCAGCCCTCAGGTTCCTCTTCCCCCTCCTCCAAATTGTTCACTATGATCAGTGGGGGGAACTGCCACAACTCCACTGTGTCTGGAGGTACTCCAGGGCACATATCCAAGCCTACAAGGCTTTCTCTCTCTCTTGGAGTTCCCATAACTTCGACGCATCATGAATTTTAGTCTCCGTCTCAGTTTGCAAGGCTGTAGGAAACACCCAGCCACCAGCCTGTGCGGCCGCCCAGGCACTTGACTTTTCCAGGGTCTCCCCTACGACCCACAGAGCCCTCTCTACCATGTCTGAAGCACCACTAACATTAGGCCAGCTCTGGGGGAAGCCCAAGCTGCAAGGAGACTTGCCACAGAATACCACACACTGTCACCCCTCTAAACCCCCTTCTAGGGGTGCAGATGGCTCCATACTGTACTGTGATGAATCCTGCTGACTTCGCCAAATGTCTTGCGAGCATTGGAGACCAGGCAGCTTAGTGCAGGATTTGGGCAGCCAGAAGAAAATACACAGAGCCATCAGGATGTCTGACATGCATTTACCCCAGGGGTGGGCGATCCACACGCACAGGCAGAAAGTCCTAACTCTCTTATATAGTAAATGAACACAAAGCCAGTGGGGTGCCAATACATGACAGTACTGCTTATATAACAGAGCTTGATTCTGTTATGCGGGCCCTTATCATGGTTGCCTGAGTCGTAGTCACCCAGATATCCAGGTGAGGGAGCCTGACTGACTCCATTGTTCCTACAGTATTGTTTTATGCTGCATAGTTTGTGGTAAATTGTTATGCAGCAACAGAAAATTAATGCAGGTGATAAGGGCTGAGAATTGCCCTCAAGGTAGTAGGGGGTTCAGAATTCATTGAAAAGTCAGCAAAGCCTACTTTCAGGGGTGGTGGGGAAAGAAAACAATTTCTGGAATCAGATGAACCTGGGTTCAAATCTAAGCACTAATATGTATTAGCTGTGTGATTCTTGGGCAAGTATGCCCTGAGTGTATTCTATCATCCATAAAATAGGGTTAAATTCTGATCTGATAAAGGTGTTATGAGGTTTAGATAGGATAATAAATAGTTTGAATATGCAGTGACACATAATAAATTATAGTCATAATTGTATTAAACAACACTCTAGGAGCCAATCTAAAGACTGCAGAGAAAGTGGAGAGACTGACAGCAGCAGAGTGACCAGTCGGGATTCCGTTGCAGTATATTCCCCAGTACTTCCTCATCTAGTGTTGGGAAACGCCCTGTCTGGTTTCAGGAACTGTAGCCCTGCCGACAGGCGAGACGGTTCCAAGGCTGGAAATAATCAAGGAGGTCTTGGGAAAACAGGCCACTGAGGAGACAAAACCTGTCCCCCTGGCAGGGGCGCAGCCCCTGCCTCCCTCATATCACCTTGCTTGGCCTTGAGATGGCTGGTAGTCAATGACGGGTAAGACTCTTGATGGAAGGGACAACCTAAGCCAGGCACAGCCAAAATGGGCATTAGGACAAAAAACTTGGGGGACACGGAGAAAGGGCAAAAAGACCCCCTCGGCTTGGCTTGGACATGGCTGCAGTCCTTATTCTATCTGAAACGAGTCTCCTTGTCTCCTGGCAGCTCTCTCCCCTTGCCTGGCTCAGGCTTGAAACAGTACTGGAGACAGTCCTATACTGCATCTGGCGGTTCTCAGGGGAAATCAGGCCTAGAAGTAAATTCTTTAAAGCATGCTTTGTTTCTCCCTCGAAATCTATGATAGCCAGTTCATGCTGGGAAGAAAATTAACATTATTCACAGACCCTAACCCGAAACCCTTTGGCACTCTTTACTACACTCTCATGTTTACTAGTCTCCTCTTGGACCCATGTAAATCGGTGTGTTCCTGCCATTTGTTTTCTTCAAAACATCATCTATTCTCTGTAAACATTAACATACTGATGTAATGACATCACCTGTACATTCCTATTACCTAGCCTCACTAATAACCCTCTCAATAAAAGCCTTTGGAAAAAGGGGCTTGGTTACCTTCTCCACTAGAGGGAAGAGCCATGCCCCCTCTCCTGGCAGACAGAGAGGAGTTTGTGACCACTCGTGTTTATTCCCCCCATCCATGACAACCCTGGGACAGGCTCTGCAGGATCAGAGCCCCACTCCCACCTCAGCTGGCCCCTGACGATGACCCTTAGATCCAGAGGTCGTCCGCGTACATTGCTCCCCGCCAGAATCTAGGGCTTCTGGCTCTTGGAGATTTGATGAATGTTAATTGAAATGAAAAGAAGGCAAAGCTTTCCCAGGTGTCCTTTGGTTAAGTTGATAGGAGAAGGTCAGAGGTGTTTGGCAAAAAGCTATTTTATCTTTCTTCCAGACAGGTTTGTAACCCCTGAAGCCACACTGCTAGGGAGGAAAAACGAAAAATGCAGATGCTGATACCTAGGAGAGAGGGCCTGGATTGAGGAAAAGTAGACTGAATGTCCATTTTTTTCTTTTCTCAGTGAGTTCAGGTATAGAGAATGAGAAATACCAAGGCAAAAGAAACTGTTTCATTACTTCTGTGTGGCAGTGAGATAATGCAGGCCTGGTAAAAGTGGCAAGGAGCTCAAAGTCAAGGTGTAGTTAGTAAGGCCAGATTAGACGTTAAAAGCCTTGAAATTTAACATTGGATGCAAGAACTTGGCCACAAATATCCAGGTGAGTCCTTGGGATTGGAAATTTGCTAAATAGAACCTTGACTGCTGGTAAACAACCTAATTTCTGAGCCTGTTTTCTTATTTGTAAAGTGAAGCAGTTGTGAAACCAGAAAAGTTGAGAGTTCTTGCTGCCTGTCACTACCAAAACCAATTAAATAGAGACTACTGAAACTTTATGGGCGGTTTATTTGGATAACTGGCAATCTGAGAATACAGTGGGTTATGTACCCTAAAGACCACCTTACATTTCATCTCAAACCACCTTTTCTGTAAAGAGAAGAAAAGTGTAGGTAAGGGGTTTGGAAATCAGGGAAAAGGTTAATCAGTTAAAAGCTGCAGTCCAGCGATTTTCCTAGCTGAGGTGTGATTATTTATCTGTGTCCTGGGCAGCAGGATGTTCTTTCCCTGGAGCACTAATGGCTCAGATACCATCTTGATCGCTTGCAGTCCTTCTAGGGCACAAAGGTCGGGTTGCTTGTGGGTCTCCTGGAGTCAGTGTAGGTCCTGTCATACTTTCCAGCTCCTGGAACAATAGCTTTCTACATGCATTAATTGCTAAGCCTATTAACTATAACTTAAAGCTAAAAATTAACTCTTTGAGTTCCCTCATCAGTTGGAATCATTTTTTAATGCTTGTGAATTTGTGACATAAAGATAGTTATTAATAAGGTGCCGTATATGTAAGCAGTTGCTTTTTCCCCCCCTTCATTCTTTTATTCTAGGCTCAGACAGGGGGTAGTGTGAAGCAAAGGTATTTTTATTATAACTTGTCATTATTATTATTCCCATTTTGAGGTGATGGAGTCGCCTCTGAAACCGGACTTGAACCACGGCACCGTCCACTGCTCGCTCCGCCCCCTCCTCTCTACCGTCATCCACTGAACTAGAGACCCGGCAAAACGCGGCCTGGAAATGGTTTGTCCTTAACGTGGCACCGTAGCCCGCGCTGAGCCCCGTTGTGTCGCGCCCTGCCGAAGCGCGTACGCTGACGTGGGCGGGGCCTCACGCTCCGCCCACCGTGCGTAGTACGTGAGTCCGGCCCCCGCGAGCTCCCAAACGGCCGGTGAGCTTGCCACCGGCTTCTCTTCAGCTTCAGCCTTCGAGCCGCCATCGACGTCATGCTGGGCGCCGCTCTCCGCCGCTGCTCCGTAGCAGCAGCTGCAGCCGCCCGGGCCAGCCCTCGAGGCCTTCTGCACCCTGTCCCGGCCCCGGGTCCCGCCGCCGGTAAGGCCCCACCGCCCGTGCCCCCGTGTCCTTGCGGTGACCTGGTCCCCCGCCGCCACTCGAGGGCAGGCTCGCCCCGCGGCCTAGGCTGCGGTGCTGGCGGGCATCCGAACCTAGTGGCTGCTGGCCGCCCTCCCCGCTGCCTCCAGGTGTGGAAGACTCGAGGGCGTGCCCCCGGGGCCTACATCAGGGCGACTTCCCTGGTGCGGGCACCGCGGACGAGTCAAGTGTGGACCGGTTGTGAGCGCCAAGGAGGGGGCTTAGCGCACTTCCCGCGTCCACGCGACCTTTTCGGTCCCCGGGCCGTGACCCTGCCCCGTCACTGACCCCTGCAGCCACCTGCCTGAGAGTGTCAGCCGCCGTCAGCGCATTGGCGAAGGTGACATTGAGCGTCCGTGCGCACCGCTCAGCGTAGGGGCAGGAGAGGTATCTCCGTGGACCCCGGCACCACGGCCCCCAGCGTCTTTCAAGAACACAATATGCCTCCTTGTGGGACACAGTATATTTTCTTACCAGGCATTTATTGGTTGATGTTTTCTGTGTCACCTTCACAGACCTTTCTGTTAGTTTTTAGAGCCTGCTGTGCCACGTTTTAATTCCACGTTTACGATAGATGGACGTTGTGTTTGTTTTCTGAGGTGCGGAAAAGAACCAGAGTAGGTAATGGTAAGAATGCTACTGTTTCGAAAATGGGGTACCATAGACCAGGAATACTGCATTCTACAAATGTATGGAGGCTTTATTGTTTGCTTCAGGTTAGAAGCCTCGTTGTTGCAGTGTGAGATGTGCTGCTTATTCTGGTCTCTTATTTTTCCTTCCTCATATGTGTTCCAAGTGACCGCCCAGCTCTGTGCTTTTAATTATTGTAACCGCACTTTGATCTTGGGCCATGATATGATGGTCGTATATGCTACATCATTTAGCCCCTAAGCATGCATATTTTAACATAAGAACTCACAAACTCAAAACTTAAAAGGTTTTCTTGGCTATTTTGAGTGTTTTAGGTAAACATTTCAGCAACTAAGAAGTGTTTCACTTCATTCAGTTTAGACTTTATCTTCTATAATTTATCGTAGAATGGTAAGGCTGGGATGCACTTCCCAGACCAAGGAGACCGTCTTATTTTATAGAAGAGGAAATGTAAGGCCATCTTGGGAAAGAGACTCCTTAATTAGTGTCAGAACCACTTTCTGTTTCTTAGCCATAGTTATTTTTGGCCTATCTTGATGTTTGTCATGGTTCTATGGTTTTTAATTCCTCATTACTGAAATGTGAAAGTAGCAAATTCTCCTTTAATTTTTTCGTATAGACACATTTGGGGGACGTTTTTATGACTTTCAAAAGAATTGTTACATTTTGTGACATGTTGAGGAAAAGGCATAGGTTTTTGGCAAACTACAAATTAAGGGGCTTCTTTTTTTTTCTTAGTAAGTTTGGGCATAGTGGTTTATCTCCTAAGTGTTCTATTCCCACTCGAGTATAATTCATAAACAGAAAGTTGTATTTTAGGTGTTGGTCCTGTGTAGACCTAAATAGTTGCCACAGGGAGTCAGTATTGCTTACAGTTATGTCAGCAACTTTCTTGCTATGTGACCTTGGACATGTTAGTTAACCTTGACTCAGTCGCCTCATCTCTAAAATCAGGATAATAATTGGTAGTTGTGAGGTTTAAGTGAAATAGAGTAACTCTTAGCACCTTGTCTAGCACTAGTGCTTGATACATTATTTTATTATAGTGCATTTCATTTTAGCACATTATAGGTTGGGGTTTATTATGAGTATGAGGCTGAAGAGGTTTTATGCAATTGAAAGTCAGAAAGAATTAAGGTTCTTGGATGAGGTGGTCCAAGGTCAAATGGTAGTATAATTGAAAGAGCTCTGAAGAAGTTAACCCAAGAGGGGCCTCAAGTTTCCTGAAGTTAAATAGCAACCCAAATTCCATATTTGGTCTGTGAAGAAGCCTCCAACTTGACACAGTTGTTTTCCAATAACTGCTGAATTAGGTAATTAAAATGTTTTAAACAATGCCTAGATTTTCTAGTCAACCCTTAAAACCTATGTAATCCTTGCTCCAACATCCTTACCCTGAAAATTTGGGAAGGGTGGGAGTTTTCTCTTTTCCTTTCTTGGTGCAGGGCTGAATTTAAGTGGCACTTTTTACTACCTTCCAACCTTCATTTTCTGCACTACTCCCACATTTCGAGATTTCCATTGTTGATCCCCAGTGTCCATGCCTGCTTTTAAGCCTTGCAACTCAACCCTCCCTTTGAGTTTGTTCATGTACCCAACTGCATTAATTGCTGCTTTCACTTGCTCCTAGAATCTCCTCCAAAAATGTTCATTCTTTGGGCCTTGTTCCAGCTGATTAGTTATTAAATGGAAGGCTGTCTGCTTAAACCAAAGGGATTAATGACCCCCTTAATTTTCCTAAATATTCTAGCTTTTTTTTTTTTAATAGAGTGCTTAACTGAAAGCCAAAAAGCAGTATTAGAAATAGCTTTTTTAGATGGAAGCTGTAAAGACCTTCTGAGAAAGTGTTTATTGATTTTAGACAGAGAGCAAGGGAGAGGAGAAGAAAAAGAGACACTGATGTGAGAGAAACATTGGTTGCCTCCCATACACACCCCAACCGGGCATTGAACCCACAGTCTAGGTATGTGCCTTCGTTGGCGATCGAATTCGCAACATTTTGGTGTATGGACTGTGCTCCAACCAACTGAGCCACTGGGACAGGGCTGGCCCAACTTTTTTTTTTTTACAGCTGCTTCCCTTTTTTTAACCCTGGAACCTTCAGGTTGTATGGAACTGCAGAGCAGTTGTCTCCTAAAATAATTTGCCTTGCAAGTCTCAACCAGGTGGGAAGGCTATACACTTAAATAGGGTCAGTGGTAGGGAGGGGAGATTGCATATACAGTTTAACTAAAAATCAAAATGTTAAGCGTATGGGGGACATGTTCGTACCTATGAGAATAGAGGTGACACTCACTACTCATTACTGGAATTAGGAATATAATTTAAAACCATGTGGGTGAGTCTTTTTGCCCTCCTGGAGGGCATATGTGTTCCCAGTGCATGCTTAGTATTCTAAATACTTGTTTCAGGGTGTTTTTATGTTTGTTTGTTTGTTTGTTTGTTTGTTTTTAAGTACAACGAGTTGGTAATTTGGGACTCCCCAGAAGGAAGGTAAAGAAATTATTGAAGGTGATCCATTGATTTCCTTGACTAGGATTTGCAGTTGCTGATCATCTTCTTTACAGTTAGAAGACAATACAAAGCTATCAGTCACCTAGTGAATCCATGCCCAACAGTGAGCAAAAGAACTGGTTATCATGAAACACTTCTCTGGGTGGTAAGAAAGGTACACTTAATAATTACCTCTAGGGAGGGAATACATATATTTCATTTTTCTTGGTAAATACTTATAAGTGGAATTGCTGGGTCGTATGGTAGGTGTGTGTTTAATTTGAAAAGAAACTGCTAAACAGTCTTCCAAAGTAATTGTACCATTTTACACATACATTTAAGTGTTTAGCTAAGTTTAACTTTAATTTTTGAAAAAAGTAGCTTATAAATTTTTGGTAACAGTGGGTAGGAGCATTGTTGTTGATCTATGCTTTCTGATAAATGTGAATATTAGTCTTGTAAGAGTTATTAAATATCTACATAGTTTTGATTAAATGTTTACACTTACCAAATACTTTTAGGTGTAGAGATCCGTTCTTTTTTCTTATAGAAATTAAAAGATGTCCAATTCCAGCCCATTTATATACGTGTCCCACTTCATTCTGGGCTTGGATTGTGGAGGTAATTTAGATCTCTGGTAAGATTGGGACTTGTGCTGTGGTCCTCTGTGACTAATGACAGATAATTTGCTATAGATCAAGTGGTAATTTAAGTGAGAATCCTTTTGCTTTATCAAGCAGTGACAGTCCATCTCCAGAACTGGCTAGTATTCCAAATTTTTTCATCCTTTTCCACCTGCCTGCCTGCCTCCCTCCCTTTTTTTTCCCATCCACTTTCTCTTGCCATTTATAGCATTAAAGATGTATAGGATATGCCTAACATTTAAATTTCATAATATACTTAGAGCCCAAGGGTTTCTGGGTAGTTGTCTTTTTTAGTTGTTTGTTTGTTGTTTCTTTTTTTTTTTTTTGAATAAGCCTTTAAACATGATTAAAAACTATATCGAGTGGGTAGAAGTGGAAGAGGGTATGGGAGGATAAATGGTAATGGAAAAAAAATACAATAAAATAAAGAAACGGGGGGGGGGGGAAAGAAACTATACCAAGTTTGTCTAATTCTTCTAACAGGAAAAGCTATTTGAAGAATAGCATGCTTGGTTTTTATGTTTGTTTGTTTGTTTTTAAATACGAGTTGGCAATTTGGGACTCCCCAGAAGGAAGGTAAAGAAATTATTGAAGGTGATCCACTGATAAATTACGATTTCCATAGATAGAAGATTAGTTAAGACATTATTAGATAAGGATTAATTTTTAGCTACCATTTATTGAGTGCCTGCCTACAAAGCACCAAGTCCTAGGCAGTGTTACCTGGCCTTCATTTTTAATGGCCATGGTCTGCTAAGGAAGTTGTATCTCCATTTTACAGATAAGGAAAATAAAACTTGAGTTAATTAATGGTCGGATACTTGTAGACTCTGCTGCTTCCTAAAATGTTCTTTCCCCTCTCCCCTACCATAGAGAAGCTGTATAGAAAGAATCCAGATTTCCTAACTCCTGATTCAATGTCTGTTTGACAGGCTTCAACTAAAATGGGAAGGTTGTGTTATATTTTTAAAAATCTGATAAAGTGGGTTTGTTTGCTTGTTTATTTGTTCGTTTTTTTAATTGGGTGTGAGTCAGAGAAAATGTTCCCTCTTAGGGAATTTATCAAAATTTGGTGGGGTGGAGGTAGTTTGAGAAAACAATTTTTAAATTGCCATTGCTTTGTCAGAGTGTGTAATTTATTTTGGAATATACTTTTTTTTTAATTTTAGAAAAGATTTTATTTGTTTATTTTTAGAGAGGGGAATGGAGGGAGAAGGAGAGGGGAGGAAAACATCGATAGGTGAGAGAAACATCAATCAGTTGTCTCTTGCACGCCCCCAGCTGGGGATCTGGCCGACAACCCAGGCGTGTACCCTGACCAGGAATCAAACCAGTGACCTTTTGGTTCTCAGGCCCAATGCTCAGTCCACTGAACCACACCAGCCAGGGCATAGAATGAACATCATTTTAAGTTAGGAATTAGTACTCTGCTTTTTGTAAAAAATTCAGACATATTGGAAATGTATAAAGAAATAAAGTTTTCTTTTTTAAGGATAACCAATATTAGCAATTCAAGCTAGCATTACACACTAGGGGGGAAAAGCATAAACATACATCTAAGATGTGTTTGCATATCAATACATAAGGTTTGTTTCATTTGACCTACTAAATAATTTTCCTACTGTGACATACAGTTGATTAAAAACAATGCATCAAATGTATTTAATGCCATTGAACTGTACATTTAAAAATGGTTAAGATGATAAATTTTATGTTGTGTATATTTTAACACAATAAGAAAACAAACAAAAAAGCCTTAACGTATTGACAGGCTATATCAAGTACTACTTCTGTACCTTGACGTTATTCTTGCTTCATTGTAGCTATCCAGTCAGTTCGCTGCTACTCCCATGGGTCACATGAGACAGATGAGGAATTTGATGCTCGCTGGGTGACATACTTCAACAAACCAGATATTGATGCCTGGGAATTGCGTAAAGGTAATGTGAATATAGACTGCTAAGCAGTCTGTTTTGGTATAGAACTATGAACTGCTTTATAGTCTTCCACTACTTTGTTAAAAGCAACTATTTTGAAAACATACTTTATGTAAGCTGAATACTCTATGCATCTTGCAGTTGGAAAGTATTATAGCTTCCATAGGGAGTGTTTCCTGTAAAACAGGGTTTTAAAGATGGCACAGTTGACATTTTGAGCCAGATAATTCTTTGTTGCAAGAGCTGTCCTTTGCATTGTAGCATGTTCAGCAGCATCCTTGGCTTCTACAGACTAGGCGCCGTCACTACTCCCTCCCATCCCCAGGTGTGCCAACCAAAAGTGTGCTGGGGGACAAAATCACCTCTGATTGAAACCACTGCTATAATAATAGGTCAAGGTGAACAAGAATTAAATTTTTTGTTTTTTAAATAATTTATACAAGTAGTCATTTGGTTCCTCTCCTCTCTTTGTCATAGTTTGGGTTTTTTATTATTTTTATTCTTAATTATAATTTGTCTTGCCCTGGATAAGTGTCTGGTATAAGTAAACTAGAACTTATTTTTCCTAAATTTACAGGTATGTATTTAACATGTGTGACATTAATGATAACTAGTTAGACTAGTAGATAACTTACTTTATTGTAGGCAGTTTATCTCAGACCAAGAGTTCAGTCTGTAACTTCATTCTAGCATTATAGTCACTGGTGTCTTTTGTTTAAATATCTTAAAATAAAAGTAAAAAACCTAAGCATTTCAAACTTCTTTGCAGAAAAGTAGTGGTTTCATTTTGCTGCAACCAGGGAAATTTTTTTTTTCAATTTTTTTTTTTTTTTTAATTTCAGAGAGGAAGGGAGGGAGGGAGAGAAACATCAGTCGGTTACCTCACACATGACCCTAACTGGGGACCTGGCCCGCAAGCCAGGCATGTGCCCTGACGGAATTGAACCAGTGACCTTTCGAATCACAAGCCGGCGCTCAATTCACTGAGCCACATAGCCAGGGCAACCAGGGAAATTCGTATTGAATAATTTTGAGAAGTAATGAAAAGAACAAATTCTACCCTTTCAGTAAGAGAATCTTAAATTTTATGAGGTGTCATTTTGTGTAAAGCTGGAAGTAATCTAGCCCAATCATTTTCTGGCTGACTGATTTAAGTCTGTGCACTAATGTTTTTCTGTTTCTCATTAATGTCTTCATTTGGGCTTCATTAACTCTCGTTTAGTATTTCTCTGGTTGTTTTTAGATTACTTTCCAATTAAATCTATCTTAAAGCAACCAAAGTGCATATATTGTACTAAGAGTTAATGATATGAGTTGAAAATGACCCTCTTGGGAAAAACCCAGCAAATTATTATGAAAATAGTGTTTTCACTTAAGGTAATTCTGTTTTTGTTTTTGTTTTCCTTCGATCTGCAGTCTATTGCATAGTTCTTTCTGCTAATTCATTGTAAAAGAGCCACCATGATTTTACCATCTAGAATTTATTAACAGTAGATTCTCTCACTTAATAAATAAGAGAATAGAGACCTTGTAGGGTTCCAGGACTCAATTTTCAATGATTGTGTAGAGGCCCCACAACAACAAACAAATATGGCCGCCAACAGGGTATCCAAGAATTCAGTTGTGTGGTATTATGTGCCCTACCCAGAGGTAGAATCAGATTCCTCAGGTAAAGAGCTCAGTCTCACAAGACTACAAGACTACTCTCCACTTTAGAGGATGGTTGTAAGCCCAGGTTGTTAAACTGTGCTTCTGATCTATTGGCTACAAATCAGAAGTTCCCACAACCCCCTCCTTGGGTTTGAATGGCCCACAGAACTCAAGAAAACCTACTTACTCACTGGATTACCAATGTATTACAAAGGGTGTTTTGTTTTGTTTTGCTAAAGATTTTATTTATTTATTTTTAGAGAGAGGCTGAGGGAGGGAGAAAAAGGAGAGAAACATCAGTGTGTGGTTGCCTCTTGTGTGCCCCCTACTGGGGACCTGGCCTGCAACCCAGGCATGTGCCCCAACTGGGAATCAAACCAGTGACCCTTTGGCTTGCAAGCCAGGGCTCAATCCACTGAGCCACACCAGCCAGGGCACAAAGGTTATTAAAGGATACAAATCAACAGCCAGATGAAGAGACGCATAAGACAGGGTCCCAAATGAAGGAGCTTCTGTCATCATGGAACTTGGGGTATGGCCCAATGGCTCATGGAAGCTCTCTCAAAAGGATCATGGGGCTGACCTGTGGTTTTGATGGAGGTTTCATTACCTAGTCATGATCAACTCAGTCTTCAGCCATTGGCGATTAATTCAATCTCAAGCCCATCTCCCCTCCCTGGAAATTGGGGTGGGACTGAAAATTGCAATCTTCTTTCTCTCTCTCTTTTTTTTTTTTATTGTATTTTATTGATTATGCTATTACAGTTGTCCCCAGTTTTTCCCCTTTTGCCCTCGTCCACCCAGCCCTCCCCACTTCCTCAGGATCCCCACCCCATTGTCCATGTCCATGGGTCATGTGTATATGTTCTTTGGCTGTTCTGTTCCCTGTGCTATACTTGACATCCCCATGACTCTTCTGTAACTACCAGTTTGTACTTCTTAATCCCTTAAGCTCTTTCATCCATCCCTCCTACCCTCTTCCCCATCTGGCAAGCATCAAAATGTTCTCTGTATCTGTGGTTCTGTTTCTGGTCGGCTTGTTTGTTTATTTTGTTTTGTAGATTCAATTATTGATAGATATGTATTCCCATTTTATTGTTCATATTTTTTATTTACTCCTCAAAGAACACCCTTTTACATTTATATAACACTAGTTTGGTGGCGATGTACTTCTTTAGCTTTTTTCTTGTCTGAGAAGTTCTTTATATGTCCTTCAGTTCTGATGGTAGCTTTGCTGGATAGAATAATTTTGATTGGAAGTCCTTTTTATCAATTTGAATATTTCTTGCTACTCCCTCTAGACTGCAAATGTTCTTTTGAGAAATCAGGGGACAGTCTTATGGAAACTCCCCTGTAGGTAACTTAACTGCTTTTCTCTTGGGGCTTTTAAGATTCTCTTTAACTTTTGGCATTTTAATGATGATGTGTTTTGGAGTGGGCCTCTTTGCTGGGACTCTGTGCTTGCTGGACTTGCATGCCTGTTTCCTTCACCAAATTAAAAAAGTTCTCTTTCATTATTTTTTCAAAGAGATTCCCAACTTCTTGCCCTTTTCCTTCTCCTTCTGGCACCCCTGTGATGCAACTGTTGGACCTCTTGAAGTTGTCCCAGAGACTGTTTACACTGTCTTCATTATTTTGGATTCTTTTTTCTTCTTGCTGTTCTGTTGGTTGCTTTTTGCTTCCTTAATCCAAATCATTGATTTGATTCTCAGCTTCATCCACTCTACTGTTGATTCCCTGTAAATTGTCCTTAATTTCAGTTAGTGTATCCTTCCTAACTGGTTCTTTTTTATGACTTCCACATCCTTTTTTATGCTATTGAAGTTCTCTCTGAGTTCATCTGCCTTTCCCCAAAATTCATGGAGCATCTTTATAACCAGTGTTTTGAACTCTGCATCTAGTAGCTTGCCTGTCTCCATTTTGTTTCATTCTTTTTCTGGAGTTTTGTTCTGTCCTTCCATTTAGGCCATGTTTCTTTGTCTCCTCGTTTTGGCAGCCTACCTGTGTTTGTTTCTATGTATTAGGAGCTTCTGCATGACCCCAGCTTGGTAGAGTGGCCTAATGTAGTTGGTGTCCTATAGGTCCCAGTGGTATAGCCTCCCCTATTATCCAAGCCGGGTACTTGAGCTATGCTCACTGTGTTGGCTGTGTACACCTTCCTACTATAGTTGAGCCTTGATTGCTCTTGATACATCCAAGGTCAGCCACTGCCTGTGTTCTGTCTGGGGTCCCCCAGCATAAGCAACAAAATGATCTGCAGATGGCTGCTACTTTTGCTGGGCTTGGAGGTACCCAATCAAGGCCAGGCTGTGAACGAAGGATGGTGCTGCTATTGCCAGGCTTGGGGCAACTTGCTGAGAGGTATGGGGCTTGCTGAAGCCAGATGCTACTTATTTGAGAGAATTTAGGAAAATCTGAAGCATGGGCCAAGGCAAGCCATTTTTATAGAAAGGTCACTGGGAACAGCTTGGGTTGACCTGAAAGTTGGGTGGGACAGGGCCTCAGGGAATCACCAGGGTGGGGCAAAAAGTGTGAGCCAGGTTGGTGGAATCTTCCGATATGGAGCCTGCTTGCCCACTGTAGCTCTATAGGGGGAGGGCTTGGAAAAGGAGCAATAGCTTCACCCAGCACTTCTGTCTGGGACAGAGCTGTCCCCCAGCTCTCACCCTGGTGCGAGACAAGTCAGTTCCTCCCCATATGTCTACGATGCCTTTCAATCTGCTGCTGCCTTTGTGCTGGAGCTCAGATCAAGTGAGTCTGTGTAAGCCTGTGAATGGGCCCTTTAAGAGGAACTTCCAATGATTCCGGCAGTTTCTGTCTTCCAAAGCCTCAATCCCTACTGGTTTTTACAACCAGAAGATGCGGCATCTCCTCTTTCTGGCACTTGAGCCCTGGGTTGGGGGAACTGTAGTGAAACTGAGACCCTTTGCCCCTCAGATATCCCTGCTGATTTTTATCTGTCACTCATGGGTGTGCCCTTCCTACCAGTCACGATGTAGTTTTTCTTGGATTCTGTAGTAGTAGGACTTCCATTCAGCTCAATTTCTGATGTTTGTTCTACAGTTCAGCTGTAATTTTGATATGGTTGTGTGAGGGGGTGAGCTGTGTAACCTGCACTGCCATCTTGACAGGAAGCTCTAAAAATTCCAATCTTCTAACCACAGTGTTGGCCTCTATTGGCAGTCAACCCCCACTCTTGGGTGTAGGTCCAAAGGCTTCCTCTTCAGTATAACAACAGGTACCATTGTGCCCTCCTCACTTCCAAAGGGGTTGGGGATTCTGTGCTGGAAACTGAGACAAAGACCAAATCTGTATTTATTTTAAATCGCAATATCCACATCAAAACAGACAAGATCACATGTCTATATTTCAGTAAAAATATATATAACTAAATTGCAGCTTAAGTGAGAACATTTCAAGTTGATATAACCCTTCTTTTTAATTTGACAGGAATGAACACGCTTGTTGGTTATGATCTGGTTCCAGAACCCAAAATCATTGATGCTGCTTTGCGTGCATGCAGACGGTTAAATGATTTTGCTAGTGCTGTTCGCATCCTAGAGGTTGTTAAGGTCAGTGAAATAATGCTAAAGTTGTTTTGGAAAAAATGTGGTCTGTTGATTAGGTATAAGCATGTTCTGTATTTTTGAATGTGTTAAAATACCTAAAATTGGTTCTTATATAGCTAGAGGCAATGTACATTACAATTAATAATTTATCTGGAGTATAGTTTGACTTTATCCCAGCCCAGGCCTTTAAAACTGTGCTTGGTACTCTTTTAAAGTTCAGCACTTCCATTTGAGAATTATTTTAAGGATATATAAAGGTTTAGCTATAATTTATCTTTGTGCTATTTGTGATGTGAAATTAAATGTTGTTACTGGTTTCTTAAGATTTCCCAGAAGTGGTTATTATACACCTCTTAATGTTTAAAAATGTGTTTAACATTAAACATATGTATAACATTAACTGAAGAAAATTATGAAACAGTTTCTGTGATACGACCCTATTTTATTAAAATATTTTTAAATATAGATGGATGAAAATGTAGGCAGGCATATTCTCCCTCTTGTTTTAGTTTCTGATTTTTCTATAAAGAGCAAATAAATATATTGTATTTTCAACAAGAATTTTATAATTTAAAAAAATACAACTAAGGAGATTTAGAATTTGTTAAAGGCAGTAGAATAGCAGCATTCGTGAAGACTCTTGCCCTGGAAATGAGTATTCCCTTAAGTGTAGCTCTCCGTGAAAGGCATGGTCATAAGAAGGAAATTCAAGGTCTGTAAAAGAGAAAGTGTGACATGACTTATCTGCAGTGGATAAGATAATTAAGGGTTCTGTAGGCTATCAATTCATTCAGCACCAGTAGTTAATTCAGTTAGGGTCTCAAATTGGAGGTAAATTTTAAAACTTTTCCTCTGTTAACCTAATTATTCCTGTTGCCTACTGGACATGTTTAATTACCTTCACAAAATTCTGTCATCACCACCTTGTCTTCTAGTAACTCAAGCTTTGAACATTTTTTTCTGGGGTTAGTCTAATTGTCTTAGTAATTTTCAAAGTGTCCTAAATATATACCTTCAATAGTGCCCACAAAGTTGCTGTCTTCACTGAACGAATATGTTAACTTGAAAGTAGGCGACTTGTACTCTCTGCTTGTAGCCTCTGCATATGTGATTAAAAGCAGTTTCAAGTTCATTTTGTAAATGGAAATGGCTTTTCAGAGAGCTAAATCTGAATATTTTCTTTGCCATCAGGACAAAGCAGGACCTCATAAGGAAATCTACCCTTATGTCATTCAAGAACTTAGGCCAACTTTAAATGAACTGGGAATCTCCACACCAGAGGAACTGGGCCTTGACAAAGTGTAAACCCTATGGGTAAGCAACATACCATTGTGAATAGTAAAGCAGGAAACAATCCAGGTAGTGAATGAGTTCAGAGTTCTCACAGTAAGACCTTTTGATGGGCTTGTTGGAGGTTGTGAGCATAAGAGATTTAGAGAGTGCCAATAATGGTAACTTGAAGGAGCTAGGATAATTAGTCAATTTTTTTTTTCTTTAAAAATATTTTTAAAGATTTTTATTTATTTATTTTTGGGGAGGAGAGAGACGTCGGTGTGTGAGAGATACTATCAATCAGTTGCCTCTCGCATGCCTTCAATTGGGGACCTCAACTGGGGACCTGGCCCGCAACCCAGGCATGTGCCCTGACGGGGAATCGAACCAGTGACCCTTTGGTTCATAGGCCAGCAAAACACTGAGCCACACCAGCCAGGGCTTAATTTACTTTTTATTGTATTTTTCTGTTAACATTGATCCCCCTGGCACTCCCTTCCCCCTGTTGCAATCACCATACTCATGTCCATTTCTGTGAGCCCTTTTTCCTTTTTGCTCAATCACTCTACCCCCCAAACCACCCCCCAACCTGCTCTCTATCTGTGACTCTGTCTCTATTTTAGGATTGTTATTTTTAGTTGTTATAATTGTTCTCTTACTGGTGGAGAATGGAGTAAAGGTCTCCTTCATAAAAAATTTATATAAAATATTTGAAGCATAAAGAATCGCATAGAGAATAAATGTTAACCACACCCAGGTTTTCAGATATTATTATTATTTTGCCAAATTTGCTTTAGTTCTCCCCACCCCACCCCACCCCCCGAAAACAAGGTAATTCAGGGCATTCAAGATATTTATCCTGCATACTTTTCTACATCTGTTTAATTTTAACAGCAGGGTTTTATTAATTTGATGCTTTTGTTTGTGTGCCCAGGTTAGAATTTAACAGTCAAGTTATAATAAAAACTTATTTGATACCTTGTTCTCTATGGAAAGACAGATTAGGTAATAAAACCAGCCATAAGATTGTCTAGTTAGTGAACAGTATACAGAAAATTATTTGCAAAAAAAAAAAAATATATAAGCAGTAACTAATTTTTTTAAAAAATTTAACAAACATATAGTGCATATAATTCTTGATATGTGTTAGGGATGGTTTTAATTGCTGTAAACATATCACCTCATTTAATCCTCATAAACAGTCCTGTGCAGTGGTTACTATTATAATTATTCTCATTTTATTATTTACTAATGATGAAACTGAGGCACCTTGTCCAAAGTCCAAGTAGTAGAATCCACATGTAAACCCGGCAGAGTAGCTCCAGAGTTCATTGCTCTTACTATGCCATATACCCTGTATAGGCATTTACAAAAACCATACTCTTATTTCTCACAGCTAAAAAATGAGGCTTACATAAAAGTGGACCCAAAATTATTTGATGAACTAATATATCAGATCTTCACAAGATACAGAACCGGTAAGCCCAGTTAGGATATCATTAGTGAACATTCAGTTTTCCCACTGACAGAAAAAGCAGAAAATGCCTTCAGGCTTTTCTGTAATCTACTTTTGGGCTTGCTTTTTGGAGAGAAGTCTTAATTCTTTTTCCACAACCACCACCTTCCTGTAGTCAGATAGCTCATCTTTGTAATATATGGAAAGGTTTTTGTGTGTTATTAAAAATTTCTGTGAGTACTTGAAGAAACTAGGTATTCAGAATAGAAGATTTCCTAGTTAGAGTTTCGAACCTTTTATCTGTGGTTCCTGTTTCAAAATGAACTCTTAAGCGGTTGTCTAAACACTTGGGCTTAATTTTTTTTATCAAGTGTTATTCCAAGGAGTTCAGAAGATCTCTGTTTTATAGAATATCTTCTTGCTGCAGTAACATATTTGTTTAAAAAAAGTTTTTTTTCCTTTTTTTTAATCCTTACCCGAGGGTATGTTTACTGATTTTAGAGAGAGAAGGAGGCAGAGAGATAGAGAAACATCGATTGGCTGCCTCCCATGCACATCGCAACAGGGGATTGAACCCGTAACCTAGGTATGTGTCCTGACTGGGAATTGAACCTGCAGCCTTTTGGTGTATGGGACGATGCTCCAACTAACTGAGCCACTTGGCCAAAGCTAAAAAAATTTTTTTAAAGAGCAGCCCACCAACACTTTTCTGATTGGAAAAGAAAACTAACACAGCCCCTGGCAGTGTAGCCCAGTTGGTTAGAGCATTGTCCCTGTACGCCAAGGTTGCAGGTTCTTGCATGTTTGACCCCTGGTCAGGGCACAAAGAAGAATCAACCAATAAATTCCTATAAATGAGGGATATTTATATTTAATCAATAAATTCCCCCCATTCCCTCTCTCTCCCCCCTTCCCTCCCTCTCTAAAATCAGTGTTTAAAAAAATTAAAGTCTCTCAAATCAATTTTTTTAAAAAGACTAATATGGTAAGTACCAGGTGTATAAACAAAAAGCCACAGAAATGGCTACACAGAGGCCATGATTTCCCAGGCTGTTGTTCTAAAGGTGGTTATTTTTAAGATTTTTACCTGTTCTTAATTTCCTGGCTAATTCTTCATGCTTTCTCTCTTACAGATGGGCTTTCCAAGGATTTACTGATAATGCTACTTGATTATAAACAATCACCTGGAAATACTGATGATAACATTACTTTATTTGAACAAGTTTTCCTTTATTGAATACCAAACCATGTAATGGTAACTTGGACTTTAATAAAAAGTAAATGAGCTTGAACTGAAATTAGTTATTGTTCCATGTGTTTTCATTGAAAAGCAGAAAATGAACTATTATAATTCTGTTGGTATCAATTTTACAGTTTTGTTGGCACTCTGTGAGAGAACTTCAATTTTCTGGGAACCATCTGACATGAAAGTCAGCTATATAAACATACATGGGGTGCATTGGCTGGTAAATTAGCTAAAGACTAAAAGTCATTTATACAGAATTTCCTTATTGACAGGGCTAGCAAACCATGGGTTTAGGGGATTAGTTGTCCGGGGATAGATCAAATAGTATACCTTCCCAAAACAAGTGAAATAAAATTTAAAAGTGGTCATTGAGATAGTCTTGAGGATGTGCTTTGTGGTAGCCACCTTCTCTCAATGCACTTTTCCTTTCCTATGTGTACTTCCCTGGCACTGCAGTGTTAGCCTTGGGCATCAAAGAATTTGCTGTTGAACATTTGGAGGCTTTCTGCTTAAAGAACTGAATAAATGGGGTTTACATCTTGAGAGAATTAATAAAGTAAACAAATCCTGTCTTTAGAGGCCCCATAATACTGGACATCAGCTGCTGCATAAAGAGGTTCGCCTGTCCTGGCTAGGTAATTCAGTTGGTTGGAGTGTTGTCCAGATATTCCAAGGCTGCAAGTTCAATCCTCAGGACACACAGGAATCAACCAGTGAATGCATAAATGAGTAGAACAACAAACCTTTCCCGCTCCCCGCCCCGTCTCCCTTCCCCCAAAAAATGACTTTCGCTATAGCCAGTTAATACTCTAGCATCTAGGGAATTTGAATGTTCAGTTCAAATTTCAATGTCTTCTCTCATAAAACCATGTAAGAAAAAGTTAGTAAATGTTTTGGTAAGGTTTTAACTCAGGTGACCTTTATGAAACGCTGACTGTGTCAAAAAGCCTCCTCTCCCCATTTTAAGAAGTATAAATTTGAAATAAACTGAAATGGCCACATACACCTATTTAATGTGTAGTTAGTAGGTCATAGTCCTTAGGTTTGATTCTTCTGTGGGCCAGTTCTTTCCCTCTCATTCCTTGTAGTACAAAGTTCCAGTCTCTGCTGCTCTGTTTTTCCTCCAGATTCTCTTCACTTGGTTCCCCCTAGTGATGAATATCAAAATAGTCCTACCCTTGTAAATCTTAGAGACTCAGGGGCAGGGAGATAGTACACAGAATAATGACATATAAAGATGTCATGGCAGATTTTAAAGTTCTGCAAACATACGGGTACTGTGAGGGAATGATGTTTCAGCCTAAAGGATTAGGGGAGGAGTGTTTGTTTATGTTGAGACTTCATTTCAAACAAAAATCATTACAAAATTGAGAGCTACTTCCCTGGGTGTGGGGAAGGGATTAGGGCAAGGAATTACCTGTGGCTAGGCTTGAAGTGGTTGTGCAACTTCCTTCCTGGCCCCTGTGATGGGGAATCTCAGCAAATGCAGCACCCTATGCCAGAGCCCACCTACCAGGGGGAACCCAGGGTAGGAGTCATTCCCTGGGAGGGGACAGCCATGCAGCAGCATAGCCAAAGGATAACTGCAGGTTCAAGCCCTACCAGAACAGCTTAAGAAGATGCCCTGTGAAAAGAGCCTCTCAGACCTTGGGGAGAAGAAAGACCCACTATCCTCTGCTCTCTAGAGGGTACTAAGTCCTGGAGTCAGGCTGTAATACTGACACCAATGGGAGCATGGAAGTCCCAGGAAGCCAACCCTAAGCTTATTTTCCCACCCCCTGACAAAGTCTACAGTCACCCTATGATCCTTTGTGTTTCTTGCCTTCCATTTTTCTTGGGTTGAATGAATGGGTAGGGAGGGTCCACTGATGCCATTGGTGAGGTACTGGAAGCTGCCATAGAGTTTGGTGGTGACCACATGATGCTCTTCACCAGCAGCTGGAGATGCTCCTTAGTCATGTTAATATGAAACCACCTTGAGGTTATGGATGGAGCTAGAGCCATGGAAGTGAGAACTCTTAAGAACTCACTGCTTGGTCCCCATGATCTGCACCAGCTTGTCCATGTGTTTGCAAGCAGCAATCAGTATGTCACCATCCAGGCTGCTTGTGGTGTCTATAAACTCTGGTCAGCTTAAAGGCTGGCATCTCAAATCTCAGGTTTCAGGGCAAACTAGACAGGATGAAGTCAAAGTCAATGTAAATCATATGGCTGCCTGCATCCAAAAGGATGTTCCTATTGTGTCTCGATTTGCAGCAAGTAGCCAGCTCAACTGTACAAAATTGCTGTGGGCAATGAGGAATGCTTTAATGGTATAACTGTTAGGCTCCTGCAGGAGATAATTGAGCAAGGAGGGCTGTGACTTTCTTCCAGGTGGATGAGAGGCCTGCCAGAAGATCATCCCCATGCTTGTGACAATAGCTGACAGGAACTGCCAATTTGGGAGATGTCCAAGGAGGAGCCGTCTCTGATCACCTCACGTAATTCTGCCAGATCAACTGTAGAAAGGTCTGGGTCTCTTTGAAGGCAGTGTGGGTGTGAGCCAGCTGCTCTGAAAGACACTGTCAAGTGTCCCTCACTGCAATTAACAAGCTCCTTGCTCTACTAGATGGTGATGCTGTCCACATAAAACAGAAGTGTCACAGCTGTTAGTGTGCACTTCAGGAAGCTCCACTTGCAAATTGCCTATATTGTCCACCGGCCAGGCTTCATCATTCTTGTCTTAGCTGGGCACAGTGTTGAAGCTGACTGCCTCCTGTTCATGGGTGATCCTGCATTCAGTCAGGTTTTCTACAGACTGTGTTCTCCAGATTCAGTTCTTTGGGATCTGGGTGGGGATGGTGGTGTTGAAATTTTCATATTCAAGGACTTCCACAGAGATCGGGTTGGAAGCCTTGTTTTTGGATTTGAGGACAACAGCCTGGGCATGGGGCACGCGAATCACGTGGTGATCAAAGTGGGCAGTTGGCAGCCAGACACTCAGGCAGGGTATGGTTGAGCAGGGAGAGCTCTGACATCAGTTGCTGTGTTTTCTGCTCCTGGTTGGGGAGTGTGGCTCACCACATGCTGATCACCATAAGGGACTTGATGAGAATTCTCAATCAGGAGCCAGTCTGAAAGACTCATCCTGATTCTCCACTTTGAGGTTGTTGGCTGTTCATTTCAGGTTGTTGCTGAGACTTGTACTGGAGGTAGCATTTGACTTTGGGTGCTGGTGAGTCCCTCTAAAGGAAGGCAGCCCTGTGTCTGGGCAGCCCTCTTTTGGTGAGCTGGCTTCAGCTCATCTAAGGATTGGCTTCTATAGCTTGGTCTCGTGGGGAGTGTCGGAGAGTGTCGGAGAGTGTCGTTGAGTGGAAATGTACATGGTTGAAGACTAGGCTCCAAACAACAAGGGGCACTGGAAGGAAATGTTAATGCTCTGGTAGCAACAGTGGGCTCTGTAGGGCTTGATGGCATCACCCACATCCTCATCCATATAGATGTACATGTTAAGCAGCTGGTGGAAAAAGTCCACGTTCCTTCAACCTCACTAATCATCAGAGAAGTGCAAATTAAAGCCACAATGAGATGCCACCTCACACCTGTCAGAATGACTATCATCAATAAGTCCACAAACAAGTGTCAGTAAGGATGTGGAGAAAACAAAACCTGCCTCAGTCCAGCTGCAGCAGGATCCAGGGGGTCCTGAAGGTGGGTAAGGTGTCGGCAATGGGAGACAGACAACTACACGACTCAGAGGCAGAGCAAAGCTGTTCCGCTTTATTGCAAATCTCATATATATTATATATTTTTATTTTTGGCGAGCATCAGACATTTGCGGTTACATATTGTTGTGGGTTGGCTGAGCAGAAGCAATTACTAAGAGCAGACTTTGTACCTAACTTTGTGCTTTTCCTGGTTCTCATAATTCTATGGTTCATCAGCTAGTCAATCCTCCCTACCTTCTTCTTTCCTGAATAAGTAGGGACATTTTTTATAATATGTCCGTAACTGCCTCCTCAAGCTATTTCTTTATTCTTTTGTATGTAAGCACTAGGGGGGTCCTGCTCGTGCCAAGCGTTTCATGAAAGGCAAGCTAGCGTAGGGAATATGTACTCGATCTTTATTGACTATTCTTATGCCTTCCTGGTAAACTCCTGTATGGGGCAATGGGGGCGGTGGTCAGGGATTCTTTTCATGCTGTTAACTCCTTGAAGGGGATACTGCAATTTTCCTTTTATCCAATAGGCTACAAAAGGCAACCCCTGAGCTGTGTGAAGGGGTCTGTATAATTTCTTTTTATTTTCTTTAATGACCTTAGCTACCAGAGGCGGAGGCACAGGAGTATAAGCTGGCTCCATGAGCTCCGCCTGTTGTAGTTCATCTATAAACTGTTTCTCAGGGATATTCGGGGGAAATTTCCTTGCTAACTTAACTAGTAAGTTGTTAGTACAATCTGGACACACAGTTACAGATGATTCAGGAGTGGTGGTGACTGTGTCTAGTTCTGTGGAAACTAGAATTACATCCGAGGCTCGCCTATCCATTTCATTCTCATGTGTCTTATTTATCTTTCCCAGGTTGATCATATATACAATGAAAATTATGACTCCTAGTAATATAATTCCCGTACTACCAATTGTCCCTATGCCACGTCCTCTTCCCAGAGGACGCTTTCCTTGAAGCTTCTCTCCCCATATCCGGACCTTGTCAGACAACATGGCTGGAAGAGGATGAGGCAAAAACCCTTATGCACTGTTGGTGGGAATGTAGATTGGTGCAGTCACTGTGGAAAACAGTAGGGAGGGTCCTCAAAAAATTAAAAACGGAACTACCATATGACATAGCAATTTCACCTCTGAACATATATCTGAAAAAACCCAAAACAAATTCAAAAGAGTATATGCACCCCCTATATTCACTGCAGCTTTACTTAAAATAGCCAATACATGGAAACAACCCAAGTACTCATCAATTGATGACTGGATAAAGAACAGGTGGGGCCTGGCCAGGTGGCTTCTTTGGAGCGTCATCCCCTACACCAATAGGTTATGCATTCAATCCCTGGTCAGG